CTGACCCGCGGGGAGCACCCCGATCCACACCGAGAGCCCTGACCCGCGGGGAGCACCCCGATCCACACCGAGAGCCCTGACCCGCGGGGAGCACCGTGATCCCGCCGGGAGCACCTTGACCCACCGGGAGAACCCCGACTCCGCCGGGCACCGGCGCGTCCCGATGGCGGAGCGGGGACGCCGCCCGGGGCTCGCGGTGCCGCCGCCCGGGGCTCGCGGTGCCACCCAGTCCGTCCCCACCCTCCCAAACGCCTCCCGAGCCCCGGTGTAATGACAGGGCAGCCAGGGCCCGCGGCACCCTCCGAGCCGCTGCCGCCCCGACGCCGGGCGATGGACGCGCCCAGGGCCGCGAGCCTCCGGCCCAGCCGGTTTGCCGCCGGCTCCTGCCAAAAAATCCTCACGAAAATAAGAGCTGAGCCCAGATTCCCGGCAGGCCGACAGGAGAGGGGTTGTTGCCGGGCGCCCGGCCAGGCGGGGGACGCTTACCGCTGCATTTTAATTGTCCGGGCGGGAGCTGCTAATCACGGCCCGACGGCGACCGAAGCCCCGGGCGTGCGTCCGTGCCCGTCCCGCGGCGCTGCCGGGGCGCACGCAGAGGTCGTCCGGGCCCGGTCCCACGGCGCAGCCCCCGCGGCCGCTCTGCCCAAACAAACGGAGCAGAGTGAGGCCGTGAGGTGCCAGCGCGGCGGCACCGACGGCGGGCACCGGGAGCCGAGCGGTGCGGCGATGCCGGCCCGGCAGCACCGCGGTGCCGGTGCGAACTGGGCTGCTGCGACTGGCGGGTTCTATTTTGGGAGCCGTCCCGGTGGCTTCTCAAGTGACAAACACGCCAGGGGGGTGGCAGACAGCCCGGCGGGGGCCGAGCGCCGTGCGGAGCCGCCGCGGGGCTGGCAGCGGGCACGGTGGCCCCGGTGCTCGCGGCGAGGGCCGCTCGCCCACGTCCCCGCCGGGCGCCCCCAGAGCCGCTGCCCCCGCCCCGAGCAGCGCCACGGACGCGTTCGCCGGGGACCGGCAGCGCCCGGCCTCGCACCGGCTCCATCCCCAGCTCCGTACCGGCTCCGGCCCCGGCACCGCTTCCCGGTGGCAGTGCCCGTCCCGGCCCGCGGCGAGGCAAACCGGCCGTTCACGCACCGGGAGCTGGCGGCTCCCGGCGGCGATGCTCGGCCCGAGCGCCCAAATCCCCCCGCCGGCTCGGCTCCCGCTAACCTAAATAAGTCGGTACGGCGGCGGGAGCATGTGCAGAGCGGAGCCCTCCCCCCGCTCCTGAAATATTAATGCCGCGGGATGAGCCGAGCCGGGAGCGGCCGGGCTGCGGGACACGCTCGCATCCCCGGCCGGCGACCGGCCGCCGGGCACGGCTGTCCCCAGTGTCCCCCCGGGAGGCACCGGGAGCGCTCACGGCACCCCCGGGAGCCCCGTCACCCTGCGGGGCGGCAGAGGGGCCGCTCGGGAAGATCCCCGGCGGGAGATGGGGCTGGATATCCCGGGAATGGCGGGGCAGCGCAGAGAAGGGTCCCGGACCCATCCCGAGACGCGCGCGGCGGTGACGCCGTCATCATACCCGTGACACCGTCACCTTACCGGTGACACCGCTGCACCGGTGACACCGCCGCCGCCGTGCCGCCATGAGTCCGAGGACCGAGAGCGGGTCACGGTGACAGCCACCTGCCGTTTTGGACAGCCACGGCGGCA